GGGGGGGGGGGGGGGGGGGGGGGGGGGGGGGGGAAAATGTAGCCGGTGGGACCGGTTCCCATACTGTCGGAAGGATGGAACGTCGGAGTCATAGGATTGAGACACGTGGCAGTGTCATGGACACAAGGAGAGAAGACTAATCCTCCACTCCTCCTCTATCTTATCTTCCTCTCCACACATAACAAAGTGATGTAATAATTAAGTGCGAAAATTAAATAGATTAATAAAAATCATTTGCTCTTTGATTGATTCTATCGCTAAATTATTGGCAAACTAGAAAAAATAAATATGTGGACCTTAAAAATAAAATCTTTTAGTCGATAAAATATCTTTAAATTAGTTAAATTACATTTAGATTAATATTTTAATTGCTAAATTATATATTATACTTAATTTTATTATTTTAATTTAATAGCGATAATCATTCATGAAAAATTGTACATGTAATCCCCCAAAAAAATATTAAAATACAAGTTCAATATTTAAAATTTGAAGTTTAATCATTAAAATTGAGTTAATTTTACATCAATTTATGTAAAAAAAAAAAAAGATATATCTTTCTAATTGAAATTAATTTATTTTATTCATTTTTAATAGAAATTAATTTATTTTATTCATTTTTATAGTTCTAATAAAAATTTAAATTCATCATGTTAATTTAATTTATGTTCTTCATGCATACATTATAACTATACAAAAACGTTATAAAATTTTTTTTAACTTAATAAAGTTGACTGTCAAGACTTTCCAAGCTATAAAAAATCTACGATAGTACTAATGATATCAAAAAAACGCTATAAAAAGTCTAGATGACACTTTTCATTAGTTATAAAAAATCTACAATGGTACTAATAATATCAAAAACGCTATAAAAAATTTACGATGACGCTTTTCGTTAGTTACCATATCCATTATTTCTCGTAAGTGCATTTTGAAAGTAAGAAATGGCAAAATAATATTTGTTAATAACGCTTTTGAATGATTGGAAATAACATTAACTTAGGCTTATTTTAAAAAAAAATCATATATAAAAAAGAGCCAGTAAGTGCATACTTTAATTATGAATTAAAGTGAGCCCATGCTTATTTTATTTTTTTATTCGCTCAACAGCCAAAATGTGAGAGGTGTAAGTAAAATGGATTTAATCAGGAGTTAATTAAGTGTTGCTCATATAACCAGAGAACATGCTCAAGGAAGGTGGATTGGATCAGATCACAAGAACAAGCAAACATGGATTTAATCTCAACTAGTAAGTTGAGTTCAAACAGAACACAAAAAAGCTATAATCATGAGCCAAAGCCAAACCCACGAGGAAGTAATGAATTTAAACCAAATCAAGAACACCTCATGCATGAATATATTCATCCTTCGAGAAGGACAAGTTCCTCGATCATCCACCAATCAAACCTATTCCACAACCATTCTCGTAGTTTATATGGGTGAATTTAAAGATGTCTATTTAATTTGTAGGATATGGAATCCTCGTTAACACACACAATGCAGAGAAAGTTGAAAAAGATCTCTACCGGTTAGTGAGCAGGATAGAGAAGAGAGACTACATTACACCTCCGTCCTAATCCTCAGGAAAATAAATTGTTAAGAATTATACTCTGATACCAATAGAAGCTAGTGGGACTATTGCAATAGGAGTGGTAATGCTAGGGTCACAGACTTGCGACTTGCGGTGATGTATGGACTAGTCGAGGACTATAATTTGTAACTTGAGGACTAATAGTGGTTGCTTAAGGTTCGGAAGCAATGACGATGGTTTGGAAGCAGTTGAAAGCAAGAAGTTGTGATTGAGTTAGAGTTTGGGTTTAGGCTCTTAAGAATGAGACATAGAAGTGTTTGTTACACTTTCGATCCCACTTCTATTTCCCATTCTTAACACAAATGTAAAGTTTCACAAAAATAGGGAGCGGAGACGGGAGCAATCAAGCCTTAGGTCCCTGCCTCAAGATGAATTGTAGTCCAAACCCCACCTTATGGGATTAGATTTCCAAACCCGACCCACCTTATGGGATTAGATTTCCAAACCCGACCCAAACCATGGGTTGACAACCCGAGAGGCTAGGCATGAGTTTGGGTTTAGACCCCAACCCAAAACATCCCCTAAATCCTAAAGGTGAAAGATACATGTTTTTAGTTAATAAACTTTGTATTGCTAGCAGCCTAATATTTATTTTGATGGAAACATTAATCAAAGTAACATTAAATATATCCATTTTATAAGCATATATTAAAAACAAAAAAAACAAAAAAAAAAAAAACTAGAGCCAAAGAAGATCATAACTGTCCAAATAATACATTTTCTTACTATTTTTATTACTTTTTGTAACCCCCAAAAGGGGGGAGGGGGAAGAAAAAAAGGGCAGCTGAAACCTGAAATAGAAGACTTATCGCATCGTCCTACTTTATGGATGCCAAAATTCTTAGACGATCAAAGTTTGGGATAAAGAAAGAGTACCTTGTTGTTCGACAGTTGTAGAGGGATCTAAGGTAAGCCATTGATAATAACACCAACGTAGCAAGCTAATTTTGATATTCCACAACACATTCCTAACAAGGGGAATTTAGATGCATTATCCATTTCATAGGAGTCCCAGAACATTATTAAAAAACACTCAACATACCATGAAAACCGATTACGAGCGAACATAACGAACTGGAATACGCCGCTGTATTGGGCTCCTGCAAGAAGGACAATCTTTCATACCCTGTTTTTCATGTAGTTCATTGCAGGTTGTGCACACCACCTGATGGGCGCACGGAAGAAAAACTACTGACATCTCCTCTGAAAGGCACATCACACACTCCCGTTCCCGCTTCACACCCCCAGTTCCAGGGTACTCGTAAAGATCCTTCATCGATTCCAAGGCATTCGGGGTCGAGGACTCTTTGTGATCTGTGCTATGTCTGGTATCTGTAAGTCTACTGGCATAACTTCCGTCAATGCCTCTCTTAAGAGCTGCAATTCTTGAAGAATCAGTCTTAAGTCTCAACGCATAGATTTCTTTTTCAAGCTTTTGGATATCGTCTTTGTATTTTAAAAGATTGTTTTCTGCTTTTAATTTAATTGAATCCTCCTTTGCTTTCACTGAATCTTCGATTTGTTCTCTCTCCTTTCTCAATGAAGCAGCCTTCATGAGCAGCTCATCTTTTGCTCTCTCCTCCAACTTCCACCGACCCTGAGATATGTTCCTTGTCAATGAGAAAGAGCCCACAAGTTGCCACGTAATTAATAGAACTAAAAAAAACAGCACAAATTAAGTACTAAGCATACTTAAGCCTACCATCAACTAGGAACACAACCACAAAACGCAAAGGAAGTATGTTCAAGATAAAAATACGGCAATTATTTTTCGTTCTAAATATATTTTGCTCAAATCTTCAAAAAATAAAAAAATGTGTAGGAGAAGCAAATGCATTCTAAGACCAAGCAAGAAAATACAATATGAGAATTGAAATCTAATATCAAGGAAAAAGAAAAAAAAAATAAACAAATGAGGTAATCTTAATAAGAATGAGATGCAACACCCACATTTATAAGAAAAAAATCCAAAGATAACAATTTAAACCGTCTTGTAACTTCTCCATCGAATATGAATCTCGTAAACAACATACGTATTGCTCAACAACTAAAGAATTGGCTAAACAAATAGCTTCAACAAGAAAAAAAGGAGAACGTGCTTGAATATTTTAAACAGGGAGAAAACACCAACTAGTAATCTGCAAACATATCAGGAACTAGAAATGTGTAAATGATCCATGCAGATTAGGGTCTAAGATCAGTTGAAAACCCTAGGAAAGATGAAGTGGAATACACATTGTTCATAAAAAATAAAAATAAAAAGTTGATAACACCCCAACCATGGACTCCTTTTCCTAGGGTAGTGTTATTGCCTTTTGGACAATCTACAGGTAAAAGCATAATTTAGTCTCATAATTATTCCTGGGAAGTGATAAAATCTTGATCTACCACCCAATAAACTGTTGCGAGTTGCAAAATTAATAATTAAGGCAGTAAAGACAGTAGCTAAAACTCATAAGAACTACGGATAACTAGTTAAAACATACCTCAAGTTGCTCCCGCAGATCCCTGGCATGCTCAAGTTCCTGTATTAGTTGTTTCAATTTCCGCTTTTCGGCTGTGAGTTCTTCCTGAAACAACATTTTCTGCTTCTCCCAAGATTGAACTTTCATCAGTGTTTTCTTTTCCCTCTTAGAAACCTCGTGATAATTAGCAGCTGATTCTGCAGCACGTAATTTTGCAACCTCCATCTCCTGCCGTAGTGCAGCATTCTCCATCTCAAGCCTCCTAACAGCAGAGTTAGCAAGTTCAACCTGACCACTAGCCTTGCACAATGCATGTTCCATCTCAGAAAGTTTCTTCATGGTATTTTCTTCCAGAGTTTGCTTCTCCTTTTTCAGCCGTTCAACTTCATCCTTTTCTTGTTTCAAATTCTTGAGTTCAGCCTTGTCCTTACTTAGCCTCCTTGCAGCCTGCATGACCTTTTGATTTGCCCACTCCGTCCACTCTTGCAGCTGACTTTGTAATTCCCGAGCCCTTGGCACTAGCTTCAAAACCATCTCATCCTTCTTATCCTTCGGAAACCACTGTCCAAGGGACTTTTCATAAGGTCTCTCAACAAAACTATTAGTAGAAGACTCAGCGTTGCAGCTGATAGGCACTGAGGGCTGATTGCTTTTAGTGGGCAAAGAAAGAGAGAGATCAATATCAGTTGTTGGTAGCCCAGAAGTATTAGCTGCAGGTAATGCAGGGGGTGAACTAGGACTGGGCATTGGAGATACATTGGTCTTAGAAAAAGGAGAAACGGTGTTAATGTTTTCCAAGTTAAATGATGGAGAGGAAGAAGGAATGTCGATGGTGGAAACATTATCGTTCCCATTGTCTTGGGGCACATCAATTCCCATGGCTTTGCTTATTTTCAGTGAAGCGTTCTTGAAGTTAACTGAAGTGGAGCCTGAAACAGATTTTAGTTTCTTATCCAACGTTAAACCCCCCAAACCAGTCAGCTTTCCAGCTCTTGATGAGCTCTTAGTTCCATGTGTTCGAAAGTTTTTATCCACATGAAGTGCCTTTTGTCGTAGCATGTATTCTCTCTTAGATATATTAGAATGACCCTTTCTACTGCTCCCAACTTTTTCTTCGGACACAGAAGTTTGAGGGTTTCCGGCCACACTATATGATTCCTCAGCCGTAGCAGAGGTGGAATTTTGCAACTCTTTATCTGATAATGGTCCACTTGAAAATAATGGGTCCTTTGGTTTTGCAATACTAGGAACTCTTAGAGTGGCTGGTCCATCAGATTGAGAAGCATGAGCACAGCTGATCGGAGAAATTGACTTAACAGGCTTAGGTAGATTCATCTCAGAGCCTTTAGCTTCTGGTTTTAACTGTGGGATAGAGTCACACGAGCTCTCGTTCGAAGTCCCATCACAGACAAGTGCATCAAATGGGTCATTATCCACTGCACATGCTAGAGATACATTCATGTCACTAATCAATAACCACCACATTGCATCGCCAGTGCTGAAGAAAGGCCTAACCTCTCGTAGAACACAAACTAATTCGGCTAAAATATATTTTTCTAGTTGCTGTAAATCTTCAAAATAGTGCTCCCTTGAATGATCAATTTCTTGGTCACTTTTAAGGAAAGCTAAGGTGTTATCCACTATATTTGATAGTGTATCTTTACAACCAAAACAAATGCCAGACCTCGACACGGCTTTTATCGAAACCTCTTCAGTGTATCCAGAAGCAATGATTTTCTTGATTGCACTCTTGAATATTGTGTCCAAATTATTTAAAACTAGTTCTTCGAGCTGAGCTTCTGTAAGGTCACTCCAATCAACATCTTGGAACTCATCAACTTCTGATTCCCCACTTGGCCAGTTTAGCCCAACGTCAGAAGAGCCTCCATTGGACAATCCAAGATCAAGTTTCAATCCAGCAGAAAATTCGGGACCAATGCTACAAAGGTCACACGCATTGGTTTGCCCCAAACTTGAACTATTCTCAAATTTCTCAGCTGAAAACTCATAACTCGAGCATTCATCTTGAGATGACGAGGCGATCTTACTCAGATCACCTAAAGGTGGATCTGCTCTGTACTTCCTCTTATTCCTACTCCCTTTTTCCTGGGCAGTCATCGAGGAAGGCCCGTGATTGATAGTGCTAGAACAACTCGGCTTAACGACCATTGATGCCATTTTCCACTGCATAAGACAACATATACGAGTACCTTAATCTAGTTATCTTTGTTCTTTTCCCTTGTGTAGATATATATCATACACTTAACAAGTAAAAATACCAAACGTCTTTCATAGCTCAATGCAGTTGGAAAACCATGAATATCCAATTTATGTAAACCAAAAGAAAGATAAAGAAAGAGGAAAGTAGAACTATAATCGCAAGAATGAATCGTTTACAGCTCAAAATCTGGCAGCTGATGATAACAAGAAGACAAAGAACTAAGAATCCAGTTCTCGAGTATTCGTCCAAGAAGGAGCTAGAACGCATACCTCGAATCTCAGTACTAAAATCGACGATAATCAAAGTCTGCGTCCACCGGAAAGAAAGAAGAAGAAGAAGAAGAGAGAAACAAATCAGTCACAGAAACAAGCAAGTACCTAGAGTACAAACTGAAGAAGAGAATCTACACACGTCTCAAAACGTTAAACCCGTGGAGCACAAACAAAAACCACAATCATCTAACTCCAATTTCATCAAGAATTAAACACCAAAACCAACCTCGTAGATCCAAGAAACAAAAGCTTTATCAACAATTTGGTGGAAACTGCTACAAGAACACAAGAAGATCCCTCTCTCCCCCAAACAGAAACTCGATAATTGAATGTTGGATAGAGAACGGCGAAACGATCGGCAGAAACGACGCTGCCGATTGAAACGGATGATTTGCAAGAACCGAAATGGAAGGAAACACAGAATCAGAAGAACATCGGAAAGAGAAATCCGTATAAGAGTTTTTTTTTTTTTTTTTTCAATTTGTTTCCTCCTTTCGTTCCTTATTTTCTTGCTATAGCTTAGACCATATGTCGTCTCTCTTACTGAATATTTTGGCTTCATTGTTGAATTGTTTTCTTTTGGCTTTCACGTTAACCACATTAACTAACCAGGGTTAACTGAATGGGCTCCTATAATTTACCGTGGTTAGAATGCCTACCCTACTTTTATCACATTTTTTCTCTTTAGTTTGGTGGAATTTTTTTTATTTTAAACATAAATAAATAAATAAATATTAGCTCTTATTTAGAAAATATCTTTATTATTTCCAAATCTGTAATATTGTAATAAAAAATGAGCGTCCCAATCTTAAGTTTTATCTTAATAATCTCGACACTTGTTTTGTCTTTCAATTTTCATTGAACATTCTAAAACGGCATTTGACCAGTAAGCCACTGTAACCTAGCCCAGCGACTCTGTCCACTTGATTCATCGATATGATAGCCTTAGGTCATTCTGATTCATCGATATCATACTTCTTGTCGTCCTATTCCAAACTCGAGCCCACTCTAATGCGACTCTCTCCCCCTTGATTCATTGAATAGCCTTACGTCAATTCTTATTCCAAACCCTCGCTATCATAAAAAAAAAAATGATGTATATTTTAGAAAACGTAAGTTGGAATGATAACCTTTCAAAATATAAATGAATTTTGTAATTAAAAATAAATAAATTTGGTAGGTTGTTGGGTTTTTTCTTTTTTTTTTTTCTCTTATATAATAATTTGAATATTTATGGAAAGAAATTAATGATCATAGTTGAGATATACGTGCTATTTTAGACGCGTGATATATTTATTTTAATAAAATATAAAAATTTTAAAATATAGGTATAGACTAAAACTTATTTATACTATTAAAATTAAATATATTTAATTTAAGTAAAAATTAATGTGCAGTTTGAAAATTAGTTTTTTTTTTTTCAAAAAAAAATTAACAAATAAAAAATATTGTTTTTTTTTAAATTATAGTAAGCATAATAAAAAATCGGCATGCAACAATATATATGATATAAAATAAAGTCGATGTCATTATTTATGTCATCTACACTTTATTTCCGCCTTTAAATATTTGTTTACATTTAATAACCAGAAATTTGACTAAGAATTTTCGTGAAGAAGATGAAAATTAATAACCAGAAATTTGACTTAGAATTTACGTGAAGAAGATGAAAATTACTGTGAAGACGTTAGCAAATCAATAAGTTTAATAGTAATGAGAAACTAGCATAGCACCCTATAAATTTGAACGTAATGCTCGACATCATGAAATAAATTTGAACGTAATGCTCGACGTCATGAAATAAATTTGAATGTAATGCTCGACGTCATAAAATAAATTTGAACGTAATGCTCGACGTCATGAAATAAATTTGAACGTAATGCTCGACGTCATGAAATTTCATGCACGGTCACTTTATTACTAGATAATTTACATAAAGAAGATGAAAATCACCGTAAAAAAGTTATAAGAAAAAATAAATAAATGGTTATGAAACGAGACCTTCAAACATTAATAATTTTTAGAGGCCATTCAAACATTAATTGATTGATAATTGTTAGGGGCGTCAATGAATAAGCCAGAAGGCAATGAAGTGAATGCATATTTAATATCTAACTCCTCAGTTCAATGCACCTTGGGAGCTATTTTGGCAACATAGTCCTCAGTTTATTGGCTATACACAAAGTCAACTTTTTTATAATTCATAAATAGCTTGTGAAAGAATTTTCTATCACTGACACGTGCTGCCATCGAAGTAATCTTATTTCAGAGGATGAAATAGTGTTGTAAAAGCCTAAGCTCACCGCTAGGCACACTAATAAATATTGTCCTTTTTGGCCCAACACTCGGTGTCTGGCTCTGATACCAATATAATAAGACACCGAGCGGTGTACTAGCAAGGACGTTGGGCCTCCTAAGGAGGTGGATTACGAGATTGACATCAGTTGGAGAGAACGAAACATTCCTTATAAGGGGGTGGAAACCTCTCCCTAACAGACGAAGCTAAAGACAATATGTAACGGACTAAAGCGGACAATATCCGCTGAACTGTTATAGGTTTGACTTCAATTCCATAGAGACAAATCCCAAAAACTGAAGAATACAAGGCAAAAGGCAAGTAGGTGGCATTCAGAAAAGACAAGGCAGCTATTGAACTAAGTTGTTAGAGTGTTGTCAGGCTGCCTTAAATGTTAGGGAGGATGTAAAAAAGAAATTGGGAGAGGATACCAGAAACTAAAGATGGGAGAGGATACCATTTCTGGTTAGAGAAAATGAAGAAACATTAACGATGAATAAGAGTGTTCGGAACCAGATTGGATCAGTCCATAAGTTATCGAGCGTACCCAAATGGGGGCGAAGAGTAGCTTGATGGCGGTGAGAACACCGATTGAAACGCTATGACTAACTAAGAGTGTAAGGTGACTCGAGAGGAAATAAGTCAACAATTGAAACAACTCCGACGATAGAAGGACAAAAGAAACATTGCAATATCAGCCATCTTTCAAGGGGACGCTCTCTCCTACAATTCATAAACTACGGACAAACTTTTCATAACTACATTAACATCTACACTACCTTTGTAACAGTCCAAGCCCACCGTTAGTAGATATTGTCCTCTTAAAGCTTTCCCTTTCGGGCTTCCCTTCAAGGTTTTTAAAATATGTCTGCTAGGGAGAGGTTTCCACATCCTTATAAAGAATGTTTCGTTTCCCTCTCTAGCCGATGTAGGATCTCACAGCCTAAGTCACTACGGGTTTTGAACTAAGCATGAGTGACAAGTGGCCGTACTTAAGTTCTACTGCAATATGTCATAGCCCATACCATTTTGGTGTGCAGATCTTATAGAATTAACCATTTCAGAAGACTAGTAGAACTTATAAATAAGTTTCAGATGTGGTCATCATATAACAATACCCATACTTAGGTTTACATCTTTATTAGCAACGTCATGCTGAACATATCAATCTTTGCCAAAGCAATTCTACAATACACACCGAGCTTAGGAATACCTCTGAAAGGCTTCACTGTGAAGCATTAGCAGGAGCGAACTTGACCGAAATGCTGTTGACACAATGGCGTTCATCTGTAGGTGTCCCGAATCCCTCGCCTTTAAAAACGTGACCCAAATGCCCCCCACATGCAGCACAAGTTATTTCAGTTCGCCTTCCATCAGGGTCGGGCTGAAATTATTTACAGTCAATCAAATTGCAGTATACAACAATAATGTAAACTGACCCATGTACTTCAGAAAGAGGAAGACAGTGATGTAAAGAGGTAACTCACAAAACGATTGATTGCTCCAGGAAAGCCCTCAAAGAAAGCAGGCCAGCCACAGCCGGAATTGAATTTGGTGCTGGACTTATAAAGTGGGGTTCCACAGCCAGCACAGTTGTATATTCCTTCTTCATAAAACTTGTCATATTTCCCAGTGCCTCGAAGCCTGCATATCATCGACTTCTAGATATTGTGATCAACAACTAAAAGAACCATGAAAACTACATAAAATTCAAAAGAATCAACCACAAGTACACAACACAGCTAAATAAGATCTACTCAGGCGGGCTTGAAGACTGAATTATGATGCACAAAGATCAAGTAATGTAGCCAAAGGTACTTGGAATTCAAGATGATCAATATGGCTAGGATCACAATTTTAATCAGATCACAAAATTGATATGCAATACCTCCTTGTATGCATCTTAAAAATTGAAAAATTGTCTTATTTCATATGTGGCTTGGATAATCAGTTCCTACCCTGCATATGGTAAATCTTTGTTCAGGCATGTCTGAATTAAATTTTGGGTTGTGGCCTTTGTAAAAAGAAAATAACCCTTTGAGATTTCACAACCACAACCTTCCAACCTCAAGTGAGAATATAACAGCTCAAGTAGCTCTCGCTAGCCGATATTATCCTTTTTAGGTTTTCTCTTTCGGGCTTCCCCTAAGGTTTTTAAAGACATTTCTACATCCTTATAAAGAATGTTTCGTTCTCCTCCCCAACTGATTTGCCCAACTGATGGGATCTTACAAAAGGTGTCTAAGATTGGATTGATGCATTGAACAAAGAGGGCTGTTTTAGAATTGTAATGACACATGATGTCGTCATCAGTGCAGCTAAATAAGTTCTTCTTCTGCAACAAAATGTCAAAACTAGAAAATACCTATTGATAGTGCTATTACTACTGCTATTACTGACATTTTCCAACAACTTCACGAAACAATGGACCAGACTTTATAAACAAGACCTACTGACAAGAAATCACTATTTAGCAGACAAAATCATAGGTGAAGCATGTTCAGAACAAGCCCAAAAAGCCAACAACCACTGAAACCAAAACGATTAAAAAAAAAAACAGTAGAAAATACGGTTCGATGCATCTCTTAGAACATCAATTTCGAAATTCAATCAAACCCAGTGCCCCAATCACCGTTGATTATATAAACGAAACCGATCAATTTAACCAATCAAACCAACAAAAAAGACTACGCGAGAAGCAGGAATCAGTACAACAAGGGTTATCATAATTACTCAGTTCCTTTCTGGCGAAGAATGCGAAACTGCTCCGGAGAGAGTATAACCCGCCACTCTTCCTCCGATTTCTGAACCGAATTTGGTGCTGATGGGGCAGCCATGAAACTGTTTACAAGAATTCCGGCCGTCGATCGGGATGCTCCGTCTCCTTCCTCGGGCGATGGACGAGCAACTAGTCAGTGAGACGGTGAATAATGAAGTGGCTTCATCTCTTAAGAGAGAACTTTCTCGCGGGGAGACCGAGGGGGAGTGTATATGGTCGGGATTGCGGAATTATTTTTTAACCTAAGTTCGATTCTCAAAATTTTTTATAAATTTTATTTTTGTAAGATACAATCGAAAATCGTAATATATTAACATACTTACTCATAAAATTAAAGACAACTAAATACCGACATTTTTTTAATGATAGGTTAAAATAACAAAAATATTAATAAACGTTCACAAACAAACCCAAATCAATCTATAATTATTTTAAAAAAAATAATAATAAGGTGGAAAAATTATAACATATTAGCATAATTCGTCGTAAAATTAAAGACAACTATATACCGACATTTATTAACCATGGTTAAAATAACAAAAATATTAAAAATAGATCATTTCGCACTGAACTATACTTAAGGAAAGAGAAGGCGAAGTAGAAGTTGGAAGGAAGTCCGCTCTTAGAAAGAGTTTAAAGTCTAAAGCTAGTCAAATATATATAGTAGGATTAGTTGTTACAGGTTTCCCTAGAAAGAATTTCCAACTTCCCCGTACTTTCTCATAGTTTAGAGTGAGATCTTTCCAGTCTTCTTCAGATAAGCCCGAGATTCTGTCTAAATTGCATGAAATTAAATAAACAATAACAATGATTAATTTAGAGATACGGTATATAATAAAAATAAAAAATATATAAAAATATTTTAATTAAAATATGTTTATTTACTCATGTCATGTCACTTTAGAGAGTCCTAATCTATTAAAAATATATATATACTATAAAAATAAATTTATGAACATTCGACTCAGTTTCAAAATAATTAAATATATAAATAATAATTAATAAACTTTTGTATTATATAATAAATAATATGTTTAAATTAAATATATGTATAAATTATAATTAATAAACATTTGTATTATATAATAAATAATATATTTAAATTAAATGTAATATATTAATATAGTTCAACCTTGTCATAACAAAATACCTACGTTTCTTGACAATAGGTTAAAATAACAAAAATATTAAAGATAGATCATAAAATTAAATAAACAATAAAAATGATTAGTTTAAAAATATTGTATATAACAAAAATAAAAAATATTTAAAAATATTTTAATTTAAATATGTTTATTTATACGTGATCTTAGAGAATCCTAGACTAATAAAAAATTAAAAACATATACAAATTGTGATATAATAATGTCGTAACAAGATAATAAATACATCTAAATTTAATAAATGTATGTATAAATAATAATTAATAAACCTAAAAGAGACATGAACGGACAACATGAAATAAAAGAGATCAAAATGGAATATTTTCTAAATATGAAGAATTTGATTAGTCAATTCTAACCCTTCAAAACTAATTTCAACACACTGCCAATACAGGAAAAAATTACTTTTATTTGGTCATTTAATTTTTTAATTTTCAAAGTAGATAGAAAAATAAGAAAGAAGTAACATTTATAAATTTAATTTTTAAAAACAAATAAATCAAATAAAATTTTTAGTTTATAAATTTTCAATATTAAATTTATATATACGTTATTTACTTTTTTTTATAATTAAAATTAGCTTGAAATTTAAATATTTTTATAAAACTTGTTTATTGTTTATTTATTTATTTAGAGTAATAGTTCAAAGGTTAATAATCGCAAATAAATAAATAAATAAATAAAATTTAATTTTTTTTTTCTGCATCATTTCTTCTTTTATCCTTCGCACCCTCCGGCCGGGGCTGCCGCCGCCGCCATCGTGAGCATTGGAGCTCAACTATCTCTCTATCAGTTCTCTGACTAGCGAAAGAAAAAAGAAATTGAAACTAAAATTTGTCTCCATAGCTGCCGAGGACCGAGAGCTTCGTCTAGAAGAAGCAATGCCGGCTTCCGATTCAAGTTCTTGATGAGACTTGCGATATCAAGGTTCTACTTCTACTTCTACTACTCTTCTTTCTCCAAAATTTTCAGTTATATTTGTCCCTATCTGTTTCTCAAGAAAACATTTCTGAAAACTTTGCACTTGTTTAATTTTCTTTGCCGCTTTCTTTTGACGATAATCAGGTGTATACGAGGCAGTAGCATTAACAACATCCTTACCTACCACATTGGCAACAACGCCACGACAGTCCTCTATTATCGCCGTCGGATTTCGCTCTTTCACTGGTACTGCATTTTGATTGCGATTTCTCTTTCGTTTTTTAAGCCCTAGGTTACGATTACGACGTTCGTAATGTTCATTAAATTCAGCAAAATTGAATTAGCATTAGAAATCTAAGGGAATTAATTTCCCTTGTTATCTTCTTCACTCTCTGATGAATATTTTGACTGCTTAATATCCAAAATCTTTCCTGCTGGCTTTAGATTTTAGACGAGAGTTCCATTAATCTTTCTATGTCGAATTTTGAGTTGCTGACGTCAGCCATTGGTATGGTTCAGACTTCAGTAATATTTCCGAAGTGTTATATGAATCTGTAATTATTTACTTAAATTTAATCACTAATCTACGGCTTCCTCCTCAGGTCCAATCTACACTAGGAGAAAACTCATCATCGGGATCGGGAACGAGCTGAAGCTTTCTGCTACTTCTCGTCGGCGAGGGAAACCCGAGATTGGACCGATACCCTAGAGTCCCAGAGGGAGGAGAAGAAGAAATATGTCGTATCAGGGTTTCGGCAAGGCTTCAGGACCAAGCGCACCGCCGAAACTGCAACATTCTTTCGGAAATTCAGCAATTCCTGATTCAGTTTCTCCTCTACGCGCTTCTAGGTTATATTTTACTTCTTCCATTCATATATTTTACTGAGCTGCTTTGCTTCCAATGCCATATTACTGTTCTGTTGAGGGAAGATTTTGGCTTTGTCCTTCTAACGAACCTTCTCCCACCCTCTTTTGCGCTCTGCTGCAATAATGTATTTTTGTTTGTCATAATTTGCATTATAGTCACCATGAGGCATTCGGTAGTAGAGTTCAATCACATCCTATGGCTTTTCAAACCCCTGGTACTGCTTCAAGTCTTCATCATCAATACCATAGGTAAGAATGACTACGAATCTATAGCCCTTTTCTTTTTGAAAAAAAAGATATACATGTAAAATGACTGCAAAGCCACACTCCAAGTTTCATTTGTGAAGTCTCTATTCGTTGTCAACTTTGGCCTTGTGATGTGAGAAGGATGCAATGCAGGACGATGATAGGTTAATCATGACTAATGGCACTGATGAGCAGTTGAGCATTGGTCAAATTGACTATCCAACGAAGATAATTTCTACAAAAAAGCACATCATAAACATATAATGACAATATTCCAATCTCACCATCCATTATTTGAGTTCCGAAACAACAACAATATATTTCATTCAATCATTCGTTTTTATTAGCACCAGTGGCTAGAAACTTGATAGAACGTAGCTCCTTGGCTCTCTTGGTTGATTCATTATTACCTTTTGATTTTTGGTTCCCTTCCTATAATGATGTTATGTTTCCTATAAAAAGAAAACAAAGGGTGAAATTGATATTGGCTTTTGGTTGGAATTTAATTTCATTATTGAATTCTTTATATTTTGTGGAGTTCAACTTCTCTCCTCGCAGAAATAATTTCATACGGGAACTATTATTTGCCTTAATGAAGCTATCTTTTGTTGGTAGGCCTGTTTCATCTTCCCCTATATTTGAGGAACAGCCAAAGGTGCGAGGAATTCTTCCCAACTCACAAGCTTATCAAGACCGAGCCCTTCCAGAAAGATCTCATGATCATGATACAAATATTCAAGCACCAAAAAGAACCAAATCTCCTGAGAAACCATTTGTGAGTAATCTTCGGTCTGCACAGACTAATTTGTTAAGGTATGTTCGTCCAATGTCAGAACATTAAAAAGAGTTTGAGGGGTTGTTTGCAAACTGTTCTCTAAACCGTCTTATGTTATTCAGAGCAAAAATTCTGTATAAATGTTTTTGGACAATTGCTTTTTAAAAGTTGTTGTTCCCTCTTTTTATGGATTTTAATGAGCTACTTCAAACAAGAAATCAAAACGATATTTTGATGATTTTTTTATCATGAATGATTGTTGGCTTATTCTAGAATAAGACTTCAAATAGTATAGTTAATAACATAATTGGTCATGATATTAATTTTTACTTTAAAATCAAGTTAATTTATCAAAGTAAAAATATAAGAATTAATAAAATACAATGAAATTACTCAGTGAAAAGTTTGTTTATCAACGAAAAGTTAAATTATAATCAATGAAAACTTTGTTTATTGTTAAAAAAATAAAATACAATGAAGTTACTCTCAGTCGAGCACACTTCGGTAATGATGCTATTAATGTTTTAAGGCTGAATTAGAAAAGATATATTACATGTCAACTTTTTTTTATTGAAATGTTTTTTTAAAAAGAATTATGTGCACATTCTCCATCATTCTTGCTTTACCTTTTAATTAACTAAGAACTAAAGATATATAATATGTATATATGTCATTTTATGTTGCTTGCCAGGCTTTCTACCTCTCCTCCTAGACCATTTTCTTGGTCAAATACTCAAGAAGCTGTGGGCTCGATGAGGAATATTAATGCTGAATCCGTAGTTACTGAGCCCACTGGTGTCCTGGTTTCCAAAAGAACAAAATCGCCTACTTTATCATCATCAGATCAAGTCTCTGGTGGCAATTCTGATCCTACTCCTGATGACACTGAACGGTAAATTTTAACTGACCTTGTCCCAATATTCGGTAGCTTGTGTTCTTTACTTTCAGTTTATTTTGCAATACTGTTTAAATATTTTTCTATTGTTAGAGAAAGGTTAGCCAAGGCAAAGAGACTTGCGCGCTTTAAGGTGGAATTAGTTGAAGTTGCACATAGCAAATTGGGTAGTATGGATGCAAGGGATAATTCAAATAGAAACGAACATTCAACAACAGAAAGGGACAAATGCATGTCAAATCAATCTTTGGAGTCATCAACAAATTTGGCTCAAGGGAATTCTATGCCTGATTATGAAGCTTTGGAATCTTCAAGCATAATAATTGGACTCTGCCCAGATATGTGTCCAG